AAAAAAAAAAGAAAAAAAAAAACAGAATAATAACGGTAAATGTAAACCCATCATTTTTGAAAGCAATTTGTCCCTATACTAAACAGAGCCACCCAATTAATTTAAAAACAAAAACATGGTTTGGAAGTTATGGGGCGAACTTCACCAAATTTTTGCAAAAAAAGCAGAATAATAACCGTAAATGTAAACCAGTCATGCCGATCTTCGAAAGCAACCTACATTTTTAACAAACAAAACCACTCAGTAAAGTTAAAGTTAAACAAAAATATGTTTTGGCACTTATTTGGCGTACGTCATGTGTCGGACAGCAACAGTGACAGCGACGGCGACAGAGACGACACAGACAAACAGACCGTTCAGAATATATACAGACACTTACAGTGTCTGTATATAATTAGTCTTGAAACAAAATATCAAAAGACTGTATTTACAAGTTTTACAATTTGTAGATATGGCCTGGTGGAAAATCTTTAAGATATATTTTTTCATCTTAAATTTTCAAATACTATGGTTAACAAAACACTGAAAATGTTTACAAAGGTTTCAAACCATTCAAATTCTTTAAATAATTTTTAAAAAGATCTTCAGGTACCATCGCCAATCGCAAAGGTAATGCTTGCAGATTTTAAAGCGATAGAGTTATCATATTTATATAAACAATTCTTTCCCTTTATCTAAATCAATATCATTATCATAATAACTTCATATCAAAGTGAAAAACCACAGAAAATATCTTCATCCAGTTTTAATATAATAAATCCAGAAAGGGGTGTAGAGTTCCACAACACTATCCTAGGCTGCCTGCGGTCTTGTGTTGGGCTGTATCTCGGTGGGCTTCTGGAATAAGAACAAAATGTTTAATTTATGACTAAACATACAAGCACTTAAAACGGGATTTATGCATCTTTTACCAAAGAGACGTAGATATAAATGATTGAAATAATGTTTGCTTTCATATCATGACTGGAATGGAGTTTGCCTAACGTCAAAATTACCATTTAAGATAACAAATGATAAAATTAGAGAGAAATCTGAGAACTCAGCCCTCCGCCAAGGCAAAGTGTAGACAACAGCAACAACAACAGTAATAATAATGGTAATGATAATAATGAAAACAATTACATTCAAAATATGAATTCTTGTAAATACTGTAATCATTTCTTATCCTGAATAGCAGTCTATCATGAAAATTTCATCAGAATTTGTGAAAAACTATTTTGAAATTTTTTGCTTATTTTTGGGGACACGGCTTAACTGCAATTCAGTCTGGCTTATTTCAAAGAAGAGAAGAGTAAGCCAGGTCAATTCCAATGCCCTACAAAAATATCCTTTTAAAAGTTCTTTGTAGAATATATCATACACAAATTGGATGCAATTCAATTGAGTTGTTTTTTTTTCATATAAAATTTAACAAATGAATTCAATGTAATTGGCCTTGTAACGTACTGGTATGAACAACACACAATGCGCTGGAGATGGTAGTCAGTTACCGTGTGAATCAATTATCTATTATTCATTGTTTAGTGAGCAATTGATACGTGCCTGTGTTTATGTGCATGCGTGTTGTTATGTTCGAGGCATACCTATCTTACAAAATGATCTTCATGCTAAGCCGACAACAGCTTGCGCCTCAGGTCCAAGTCTCACCTGAAACATATATATAAAATCAATGGACTTATTCCCAGTGAAATTATCGGTCTATGTAGATCGATCCAACTCTGCATGGACTGTACAATAAAGAAAAGTTGACATTTGTAACCAAATCCATAAAATCATTAAGTGTGACAACCATTTTATCAACAGTGTATGACCTTAAATCGCTTAAATGCACAAAAAATAATCCAAAACTAATGAAAAAATAATGAAACCTGTAAGACGCATAAAATTTGCCCTATATGTAATCAAAAGAGACATTTGACTATTTATAGTTGAGAAAGTTTGATCATAAAATTGATCTGGCCTACACATTGATGGGGCACACTTATCCTTGGATCAGAAAGTCAAAAGTGCAAGAAGCACCATTATCTAAAATAGTCAGTGCTCTCTGTGGTCATGTTTATATTTTAACATAAAACATTTTAAGCCATCTTATAATCTGCTCAGAATAAGAACAACGCGATTTCGAGCACACTTCGGTTTTCATTACATAAAACTTTAAATGGTCTAAACTTGTTGAATACACAAAAAAGAAAACATGCATTACTTGCGTCAACTTAAACATGCCAAACTGCCTCCATCAGATCTTGTACAGGGGTATCAAAGTTTAACGAGCTCTGTTGTTGAATATGCTTGTTCTGTGTGGCACCCCGGGTTAACCAGTGAGCTGTGCAAAATATAATATAATATAATATAATATAATATAATATAATATAATATAATATAATATAATATAATATAATATAATATAATCCATTTAGTCGAGGGCACTCAATTATATTTCCTGGTTTATCTTATGTTGATGCCCTGGTAAAGGCAAACTTTTTACCTTTTACTTTTTACTTAGAAAAGCGACGCACAGAACTTTGAAAATCTTTCTCCGAAAAAAAAACGATAAAATTACCTCTTAACCTCCAGATTATACAGAAAGCTAAGACAATCAATTTACCTTCAATGTACCAAAATTCAAAACTGAACACTCTCGAAACACATTTAATTGTATCCCATTTTCTTTAACCAACTTTTAGAGGTCTGTATGGTATTTGGAACTCAATTTAGTCTTTATTCTGTCATTTGTTTTATGTAAATATCTTACTCTGTTATTTCATATTCGAACTCATTTATATGTACAACTTCAACCTTTTGGTTTCTAATTAACTTTTTATGTTATCATTATCACCAGTGGTCAGCTAAACGTTTCCTCCTGTACGTTTTAAATCTCAAAGCAGAAACAAACCCAAAACTAACAGATTCTAGGAGTCATAGATTTTTCATAAAGTCACAGACTTGTGAAGGAAAAAAGTGACAACAAAACGCACCATGACAACGTGGGATACATTTGTTTACATTTTAGGTGGCCACCTAGGTGGAGATAAGAAACTTGCTGAATTGAAAAAAATGTTTGTCCAAACATCGTAGACAACATAAGAAAGTTCATTTTAAAATGTGACAAATCCCAGCCGGTCAACAAAAAGAGCAACAACAGTTGCCCACCGCTGAACCCAATACCTGTGAATAAGGCTCTGTTCTCACAACTTTTAGATCGATCTATCACCGCAGGGAGTCTCACTAGATTACTGTCAGATAATCCGCCTTAAGTGTCCGTCCCCGCCTACTACAAGCTGCAAGGGGTGATTAACTTTCGTGTCCGCCCGGCTGACAGCTTTTTAGCGTGAACCCCCAGGGAGTTAGGTCGATCCAATGTAGGTCGATCTAATCTATGAGAATGGGGTGTAAGTCTGAGGCATAGAGAATAGTAACCAAGACATTTTTTTCTCATAATCATGGTATTTTTGCTCCAGATTGAAGGTGGATGCACTCTAAAGGGCGCTGTTAACGGGACTAATTTAAAAGTTTACGTAACAAATGGACAGATATTAAAAACAAAAATGTATGAAGTGTTCTTCTTCCTTTCAATATTTTTTACTCCAGTCATTTTTTTATATTAAAATATTAAGAAATATGGAGACAATTTATTTTAACCAAAATGGGAGAAGATGGCGTAAAAATGTTCAGACGATGTGAGAAGAACAAATTAGAAATTTAAAATGTGAAAACGTAAAATGTGTCGTTTTTGTCTAAATGAAAAGGGTGACCTTTTATACAAGGTCATCTCAATTTTCCTGGATTGTAAGCAAACTGGAAATAAAATACTTCAAGAGCAGTACTTTTGATATGTGGAGGCTTTTCACTAAAGTTTTAGATGTTGATATAAACGTGCAATCCAAGCAAATCCGATTCATCTAGAAATATTGAAGTTATAAATATCAGTGTAAACGTATCAAGATTATTAATAAGAGTTACTATACCTGGTTAGATGTGATTGCACTTAAATGTACTTATATTTTTATGTATGTAGCCTATACATGTCATCTTTGTGTAAACGAGAGTAATAAATGGATTGAATTGAAACACCTAATTTACGTAACTGAACAGTTTTATCATTCACTGAGCCATTCCCCAGGTGGGACAGAGTGATTCAAGACTTGTAAAATGAATGCAAACAAATATAACAACACGCAGTAGAAATATAAAGAGTGCATATGATAAGAGAAACTTCTATTGCTAAGCAATAATATGTACATATCTATATTCATTCTTTTATCATTATGTGATTTTAAATTTTACATTCGTTGAAACACAGAAGGGCCACTCACGATATAAACAAAGCACGAGAGTATAATGAAATACACAAAAATTTAGTTACAAAAAACTGTCACAGCATCTAAAATAAAATGTAGCCGATATGAAGGAGATAAGCTAAAATATACGAAAAATGACAATCCGCGCGTTTCTTATATTAATTATCAGAGGTTCTCACGCAACAACAGTAGGCCTAATGAGGCTAATTCGGATCTTACTATCGACATGATTTAAAACTATATTTTGGAGGATGTCAAATGAATGGGTTGACAAATATGGATATCTTGGGTCTATTTAGAAGATTTTTTAAAAGATCTTCAGTACACTACAAATCTTTTAGAATCAGCTTCAAAGGGACTTGGTTTAATCCTTTCTACTTCTGTGTTTAATCATAGCAAACTAGATATCATTTAACAGCTGTGCAACTCCAATTTTAGAGTATGGGTCAGGAGATAGGGGATTCTCAGATGATGAATATTGTGAAAAAGCCATGAGTTAAGCTTTAAGTATTACTTTGGTGTTCATCGTATTGCAACAAATTTAGTCTATATGGTGATACAGGTTGGATCCCAATGATATTTGGCAAATGGTAAAACATTTTGGAAGAATTTAGTAATCACTCAAAATAAAAGACAAGTGAAACAAAATTTTGAATTGGAAAAAAATAACACAAATTTTCAGATTTTGTGATACGGAAAAACATTTTTGAACGAATCAATTGTTGATATTGAAAACATCAAAAACTTTATGAAAAACTTTTTAAAAAATGGAAAAAAGACATCTTTACATTTTTAAAATTCAGAACATATGTGACATTTAAGAAAAAAGCTGAAGACAGGGAAATATTTATGTACAGATTTAAACGGGAAGATCACTTAAGGTCAATTTCGAATAGGAATTTGCCATTGCATTATTATTATTTGAATAATATATTTTGTCCGTAGTTGGTAAAAATAGTCCATTTTAAATCTATCTATAAACGGGAAACCTCACAAACACGTCAATTAATGAAAGAATATGTCTTATATGTAAAAAGAAGCTAGAAGATGGGAATAATTTTCTACTTCGGTGCATCGGTTACATACACTGTAGAAGAAAGATGTAGATTTTATGATAAGTTGGGTATCCAAACACACGAAGCAAAAGAGTTTTTCTTTAGAATGGGAAAAATTGTTAGGTGTTTTGCAAAATTTGATTTTGAGACAGAAACGGTTATGTATTCATCAAGCGTCTTACAAGCCAGAAGGGCTGTTTTTTTTACACACGATACTAAAATAAATGAATAAATGAGAGCAAAACTACGTTTTATGGATTGAATTACGATACCACAAAAATAGTAATTCAAAATTATTCAGAATTGAGTAGATGAACGAGTGACGCATGACCAGATTTTCGCCGTAATGACAGAATTAGGCACAGAGCTGTGCTGAGGACGGTGTACATAATAAGTGAAAGATCTATACATTATAAAGAGACACCTGATTATCTGTTTAAGTATTCTATTCTACTATGTTCTAGTCTATTGTATATCATTTTATTGTAGTTTAATTGCAGTTTAATTCCCGAATTAGCTCGGGTATACTTTATCGTAAATGTGTATTTCATTACGTATATCATACAGGTGCGACATTGAGACAGTCATGAATACATGACAATACATGAAGTTGTTTTATAGATGTGACTTATGAGTCGTAGGACTAAAATGTAAAATAATGGACGAATATTGTGACTGGCCAAATAACACTGGACAAAACACAGCAAAGACACATGCAATAAATAATTTGCGCAGCTTTTCTTTCATTCTTCGGTACCTTTGGTAGTTAATGGTGGGGATTATTTAAAAAGTGGCAATACTTACAATACACGCTTTTGCTTCTTCGTCTGATAAAACTTCAGTTAGGATAACGCCAAAAGCTCGCCCTTGCCACCGCACCATACATATCTATGCGTCTTCGCCTATCGGTGTCCCACTGTCAAGTGACTAGCCTTGAAGACAGTTCGCATTACGAAGAGCAACTTATTGTTATGCAAATTATAACAGGTAGATAGTGAAAGGTGAGAGGCTGTAGCTGAAACTGTTCACGAATGTTCGCACTCAAAATACATGTAGATACTACTTGAGTACATTTGTTGGTGAAATATATCATAATTTTTCATAATGTCGTCATTTTTTTAACGTTGATTGCATATTTTATTTGTGCCAACTTTTGCTTCAATAGCTATTGTGGTTTGACATATTTTCTTAATTAATCTTGGTTGCACTCATTTACCTACTTTATTATTTTCATGTTATGGCAGTTATATAGTATGGGGAATGTATGATTATCCCCCCAAGTTTGTAACTTTGTGTCTTATTATTTTTCATCATTAATAAATAAGAATTTTCAGTCATATGGACTTTATTTTATTTACCTTTGAGCAAAAACAGAGCTTCGTTGTGCTTGTGATCATTTGGCTATATAAAAACAATAACATAATTTAAGTCAAACTGAACCAAAACAAATCAATAACGTGAATTCAAAGTGACATTACTTAAATCAAACTATACTGAACAATAACTTAAATCAAAGATGACCACTACAAAAAATCAGTTACTTGAAGTCAAAGTGATTTACTTAAATCATACTTTAATAAACAAATCAATAACTTTAATTCAATGTGAACCAAACAAATCAATTGCTTGGAAACAATAACATAATTAAAATCAGAGTGGACCAATTTTTATTATTTATTATAAAGTATTATTTTAAATAGCTCAATAAATAGTTTGCGTCTACTTTCGTGGTGTCGTCGGGTTTTTAAAAATTGAGGAAACTTTCGTTAGTCTTTTGGGGCAGGTCATCATTTTTAGTTTTTTTATCTTTTTTTTTGTATTTTAGCCATCAATAAAATTTTCAATTCAGTTACATCAGATTCTGTGATTAGCTAGACGATATGGTGACAGGGCACAGTTAAATGTTTTATAGGAAACACGGCAAAACTGTGTTCTCTTAAAAAGTAATTTGCAAAACCTATGTTATATATCTTTTATTTCATTTTTCTCTTTTCTGTTGTCTTCATATGGACGTATACATTGAGAACGAATGCGTATTGCGTTTGACGTCTTTAGGAGACTTAATTTTATACCGTAGATGAATAGATGGTGTTTGGGGGTTTTACCGAACCTGTCCATCCTCATACATCTGCTTTCACATGATTTTAGGACATATTATAGAGTGCTATACAAATTTATACATACATGTAGACATTAGTCCTGTGCCTTTAAAGAAGTCCAATATTTTGATTTTTACTCAACTTCCTCCTTCAAGTTCAGCCACTGTTCGGAAAAAGTTTCTAAATATTTAAATAACCCTAAAAAATCTTAAAAGTTTCAAAATTGAAGTCAGCTACAGTGTTATTTTGAAAATTTGTAAGCATGTATCAAGAAAACAAAATTGAGCTTATTGTTTATTTTAATCCATAAAATATACAGCTGTATAATACATACAAATGATTAAGAGATAAATTTGTGTAAATATAATTGAGTTTTGCAACTTTTACTAGTTCAAAGAAATTACATGTAACAATTTATTGCATCTTAAAATATCTCACTTTTTTCTTCCTAAATTATAACCACTGCACTCCAATTCTCACAATCTTTATACTATGAACTTATAAATTTAATAATAAAAAATCTTTTCTAGAACTGCATAGAGAAACTGAATGATATCTTCCCCTGTTTTCATCAAAAACTGTGGTCCCTTTCTCTAAATCTATACATAAAATATTTGCATCACAAACTGTATAATAATCCAACAAATAATATCATTAAAAACTCTAGAATTCAACAACGGAAAATATTTCTTTAAAAAATACTTTCTCAAACATAAAGTGTATTATTTATATAAATGCTGGGTTCTTTATTTACATGCCCACTCCGTAACTGTTCCTTGAAATGGCCACATTTTTTCACAAGGTTCTGAATGGCACAAACTGTGACACAAGGGAGCAAGCGTTTGGAATGCAAGGAGAATATACATTTGTGAATATTCCAATATTGATATGAGATAATTTCCACATCATGAATGATAAAGATATGTACTGCATTTGAACGATACAATCAAAGTGCCATCTGCATGTAAATATTCATAATCATTGCATTTGGTGGTTAACAAGCAAGAATTAAGCCCACATTTGATCATATAGTAATTTATGGTATAAACTGAGTAATCCAGTACTTTGTTCCCTTTTTCCTATTGATCCACTTCAAGGTTTGAAATATATGCTTTAAAACCTTTTTTCACAACTTCAAAATAAACATCATATGTTTATTGGCAATATGACTCCAACTTTGTATCATTTATATATTTTTGTTCATATAATGTTGATTGTGTAAAAAGCAGAGTATATCATAGAATTAAATACCCTGTGATGTTTTGTCTAATCTAAACTTTTTTAGATATGTACAAATTTTGCAACTACTACATATAGGCTTTTAAGTTGCTCTGCAAACTTGTTCAAAGACAATAAATGTACACCAGTTTTTAAAAAAGACGTATTTACAAGCATTTGACAAGCATATCAATGTGCTTTGAATTAACATAAAATTATTCTGAATAGCAGGTAAACATGCAAATACCTCAGCAGTAGAACTTATAAAAAAAATTACACTAGAATTCTATTCTATAGCAATCATAATATTTACCACAATGTATGAAAAGTCATGCTGAGTATATCTTTTTAATTAACAATATTTGATCATGAACACTCACAGCTTCTTCATAATCAGTTATTTTTTTTTTTACATAAACAGAGGCGGTAAAAATAGTGCACTGTTGAAACCACATTCTCATGTGCCTGAAATAAGTAAGAAATATATAATGAATTCATCTCCACAAACAGATTAAACAGTCTATTAATGTTTGTATTGACAATTACTTTCTTGACAAATGTAGAGTAGTCTGCATTCCGTTGGTATCATGTGAAGAAATTTTCGCGCTGTTGTACAAGCGGAGTCCCCAGGTTCTCTATGTCACTGTCACTTCCGTCACTAACTTCCACTCTAGTTGCCGTGACGACGTGTGTATCACTGGATGACCAGGTCTTCCTTCTTTGGGCTGAAATATTTTTTAATCAAGAATAAAAACAAGTTCAATTGTTTTACAGTCATTTGTTCAATGCTGTGAAGTGTTTTTGGAGAAATCAGACAAACTTCTCAATCTGCAACTTGCTGTACTTTTGAACACTAACAGAAACTGCAACATATTTAACACCATGCTTCATAAAATAAAGCATTTTCATGCAGCAAATCAATACAGTTTTCTATTCTATACATTCAGAACTGTAAAACTCTTCACTTTTTTTATGTAAGTTTATGGTAAACAGAAAACCTTCATAATGCAAAAAAGCTACATTTGCATCTTAATAGCTTCTAAAAAGAAATAAAACAGGTGAAAATAATAAGATTTCTGTGATAAAACTTTCATCTCTTTTCTAATGAACAAATGTATTTGTATCCAACCCATCCACCTTGAGCATGCAGGAGTATACAGAAGCACCACAGTTCACAATACACCATGAATGACAGAGCACAAAAAAGGATAACAACTACTGCAAATATGAACACAGGCAGTTTGCTATATACCTACACCCAGCCAGTGTTACACATAGTCAAAAAAATCCGCACAGTGCACAGGAAAAGTTTGGACTAGAAAAGAGACAAGAGAGAAAGCCCCTTAGAAGCACAGGTTATATGTCTTACTGTCTTAATCATCAACATCTGAAGCAAGCAATGGAAAAGCAAACTATGACTAACACATAAAATGCAGTCACTGTACTGACAGATACTAATACAAGAGACCACAAACACTCGGCACATTTCGACAGCCAGCATACATATAATTCAGTCTAGTTTTAGAACCGTCACCATATACATTAGTATAATACATGCTGAGCTCAATCAGGGCCAGAGCTGGAGATCTACTGTATTAGATATGTGATTGGAAAGATGGGTACTTGAAGAAAATACCAGTATAATTAACATCAGCTAATTACAATATTAATTCCCTGAGCCCTTCTCCACATAACCTCCACTGAAATCACTGATTTTAGGTAATAGTTGGAGTATTAGTATGTCCACCACCGTCAAATGTTGGTGTAAGAATTAGAATATATATTGGGTGAAATGTGGTCCTTTCAAATGCTGCATATCTGCTGTCTATCATATTATATGGATAGGCTTTTTAAAAAAAACAAGGCTTTTTTTAAAAAGACCGATTGTTGTTCTGAGAAAAATAACACATGCTTTATCACGAGGTGAGACCAAAGTAGGTAATGCAAAGTAGGAGGAAATATATAGATATTCTGATATCACAATTGTGGGTAGATATACACAGGAGTTCCTCATGCTTCACTGACCCATCACATGGAAACACTTTGCACATATAGATTTTCCACTTACCACTCTTTGTTCCACTCATACATAGACTTAGCAAAATATAAAAGAAAGAGTTTTGGGAAAAACGTTCCTCGATTCAGAATGTTCAACTCACACAGATACTTAGCAAAATATAAATAGTAGAAAAATAATTTTGGGTAAAAACATTTCTGAATTCAGTATGAATTCATAAGAGCAGATATTTGGAATTCTACTCTGTGGTTACTGTGGCCTGCTTATTAGATGACAGCAACAGACATGCAAACAAATGTCGAGCACCAGTTTTAAAAGTGATTCGTATGTCTTCACCATCTTATAAAGGTGCCTCACTAGCCAGACTGGGAGGGCGTAAAGAGATTGGGTTAGCAGAGTATGGATCATTATAGTATGTGGCAGACACTTTAGGTGCCCCAGTGTCATCACTGTCAGTGTCTTTCTGATCCTCTTTCAATATGGCTGCTTGTCGTCTGCTCTCTTTCATAGATAGAACGAAACAAAATCTTGGGTAATAAATCGTACTTATTCTATTATTTGTGTACAATCATGCCAAATGAAATGTGTATTTGCAGTTTGATATCAAAATGAACTGAATCTGGTTTTGTAATAAATTTTAACTGTTAAAAAAATTGGGACAGATACCTTGACCTTCAAGCCACGTCTAAAAAATAATTCAATAACCAAACTAAGATAAGAATGAAGGTATTGTAAAGACTAATCTTGCTAAAGCCTTCTGCATTTCTATTAAAATCCCAAACCCCTAGAGGATTCATTACTTACCTGCTACTTGTCTGGTTTTCTGTGTCACCTCCTTAGCGAGTGCCTGGTTTAGAGATAGTAAATGCTCTCTGTGATGTTTCTCTTCACTGAACTTATCATGCACATTCTCTTGTTTGAAGGGGTCCAGTTCTGTTTCTGTCCAGTCTTGAAGACTGAAATGAGAAAACAGAAATGCTGTATACATATGTGTTTCAGATGAAAGGTGTGGTTTAATATGCTCTTGTCAAATTTTACTCATTTTAGAAATACCACACATGATATTAAAACTGACAATACTACCGAATTCTAAACAACAGCATAAGGCCAGGAGGCACAAATTATGATAATGATAAGCGTTTAAATTCACATTTTTGATAAGCCCTACTGGACAATAAAAAAAACATGGTAACACTAGTGTTGGATATTTCACCTTTGTGCAGAGAGCAACTTTTTTATTCGGTCAGCCTTTTTCTGACGCATTCTCTTTTCATCCTCTGTGAGTTCTTCCTCGTCACTCTCTGGTACATAACGTTCTGGTATTTCGATCTTCCCTGGGATGAATAACTGAAACAAGGATATTTTCTTATGGTGAAACAGTTTCTCTATCATATTCACATTTTGTTGTATTGTCTATCTGTATTCAGATTTTGTAGTCTTGTCTATGCTGGCAAATTTGTTACTTCAATCTTTCTACTGCATCTAAAAGTATTGAGCCTCTGATAACAAAAGGCATCTTTTCTCAGGCTAGTTTTCATAAAACCAATGCCCCTTTATCATTTGAAAGAGCAATATGATCATCTCAAAGGCTAAGTGAGCTGAACATTAAGTTTAACTCAAAATTCTAAAATCATATATTTATATATATATATATATATATATTTCACTGGCATATTTGCACCATGAGCTTACCACTTCCTTTTCTATGGTGTCAATGCTTATGTGTTCATTTTTGAATGAGGTACTCTGTACATAATCTGGAGTAAAGTCTAGGGAACCTCTGCGAACTCCAGTTGCACTTTCAAATGGATCATTCTGCAAGTGTTGAATTGATGTAAAGTACATATAAACCAAACTCTGGCTTTATACAATTGAGGAAACAAAACATCTTAAACTTTCATCTTAATGCATATCTTCATACAAATTTCTTAGTTAATAAATTAAATGCAAAATACAACTTTCTCATAATTTACTTCATACTCAATCATAAACTTTCACCTCATTGGTTATGTGTGATTTTAGATATTCTGTTTTCTTTTACCTGATTGATTATCAAGTCTCCAGCAGAAGTCTGTACTCCTAGCTTCTTAGTTGGAGAGGTTTCCAGTTGGAGTGGTGCACTACTTGAGATGGTAAGGTACCTAAAATATATGGATATGCCTTCTTGTGACCTTAAAATTTTGAGCAAAAGTAATGGTGTTTCAGTGTTCAAAATCATTAAAGCAGATAACCTGGACATTTTAATATCCTAAAATTTGCCATTGATTCTAAACTTTTCTGATAAATTAGTCTGAAAAACAAAAAAAAAACAAACAAAACTCTATATAATTAGGCTTTTTGCAGTCAGTCAGGTAACAATTGTCTCTTTAACAGTCGGAAAGTTCGATTACCTTGCCCCTGTTCTCCTGGGAGGTCCTTTCTTTTTCTTGGGGGGCACTGCAGGGCCCTGTTTAACAGGACCAGTGCCCTGTGTGGTATTGTACAAGTTAGGTGTAGAGCCAGTGCGATTGGGCCCCAATGATGGGTTCACCCTACTGAACCCCCCAGTGGAGCCCGAGGCCTGGAATGGTTTTGGTGCCAGTCCTAACTCGCTGTGCCTGCGAGCCTTGGATTCTGCTGAGAGCTGCATGGGTCGGACAGAAGCTGTGGCGGCAGGTCTGGGCATGTGACTGGTACTGGTATTACTATTACTGGGGGCTGAGGTGGTAGGAGTACTGTTGTTGGTAGGAGTAGGGAAGAGTCTCTCTGCTGCTGAAAGCCTCCTTTCTCGATCCTGTGATTAAAAAAAATGGAAAATAGTAACAATGAAACAAACAGAGAAGCAAGATAATAGCAATGATAAAAAATAAATGGTGAGTTAACTTCAAAGCCCCTGAAAATTGATAAACTGACACAAACCCTCCTCCTTTTCAAATCTACTACCTGTCTAACAACCTTCGACTAATGTTAACATTAAGCTATGCTGCACACATATACAATGTTAGGGGCACCTGCGCACACTTCCTGCTCATGCCTCATTGCTAAAAACAGCTTCTTTTCCCTACCTTTATTCTCTTCCCAGTGAAGAGCTCCTTAGGTGAAACAACACTGTTTTTGGCATGCTGTTGCAGTGAGGGGACTTCGTTCAACTTTCGTGGCAACGACTGAGACCGTCTACCTATGTGCAGAGATACCACCAGTGTTAGACATTGAACATGCATAGGCTCTTTGAAATAAAACATTTTTGCTGAAAAGACCAATCCCAAAGAAAGTGAATATAAAAGGAATACATGCACATGCATTTAGATAGTAGCCAGCTTATTACTAATATCAAAAGCTATCAATTATGTCATCAAAAATGATAAATAAATAAATAAATAAATAAATAAATAAATACATGCAGCTCAGCTAAGCTTGTTATCTGCTGTTATCCATGTTAATACGACATGTTTTAAGTATTGTTAAGTTTGGCTACTACCTCCATGTATGCTCTGACACTTACTGCACCATTTACACAAACTTCTCCCCTCTTGAAACACTGAGCACAATGGCACCTCCAACACAATGGCACCTCTAACATAATNTCTGTACATAAAAAAATTGGGACAGATACCTTGACCTTCAAGCCACGTCTAAAAAATAATTCAATAACCAAACTAAGATAAGAATGAAGGTATTGTAAAGACTAATCTTGCTAAAGCCTTCTGCATTTCTATTAAAATCCCAAACCCCTTGAGGACTGATTATTTACCTGCTACTTGTCTGGTTTTCTGTGTCACTTCCTTAGCGAGTGCCTGGTTTAGAGATAGTAAATGCTCTCTGTGGTGTTTCTCTTCACTGAACTTATCATGCACATTCTCTTGTTTGAAGGGGTCCAGTTCTGTTTCTGTCCAGTCTTGTAGACTGAAATGAGGAAACACAAATGCTGTATACATAGGTGTTTCAGATAAAAGGTATGGTTTGATATGTTCTTGTCGCATGAAATTTAAACTGACAATGCTAGTGAATTCTGAACAACAGCATAAGGCCAAGAGGGTATTTAAAAATGATAATGAGTCGTGTTTTAAATAATTAAAAATTTTTTTATAAGCCTTACTGAAACAGTAAAAAAATCATTGTAACATATGCTGGATATTTCACCTTTGTGCAGAGAGCAATTTTTTTATTCTGTCAGCCTTTTTCTGACGCATTCTCTTTTCATCCTCCGTGAGTTCTTCCTCATCACTCTCTGGTACATAACGTTCTGGTATTTCTATCTTCCCTGGGATGAATAACTGAAACAAAAATATTCTCTGATGATGAAATACAGTTTCTTTATCATATTCAGATTTTGCTACATTGTATACCTGTATAATTTACTTCGATCTTTCCTGTACATCTAAAAGTATTGATCCTCTGATAACAAAAGGCATCTTTTCTCAGGCTAGCTTTCATAAAACCAATGCTCCTTTATCATTTGAAAGAGCAATATGATCATCTCAAAGGCTAAGCGAGCTGAATATTATGCCTAATTCAAAATTCTACAATTATATATTTATATATATTTCACTGCCATATTTGCACCATGAGCTTACCACTTCTTTTTCAATGGTATCAATGCTTATGTGTTCATTTTTGAATGAGGTACTCTGTACATAATCTGGAGTAAAGTCGAGGGAACCTCTGCGAACTCCAGTTGCACTTTCAAATGGATCATTCTGCAAGTGGTGAATTGATGTAAAGTGTATATTAACTGAACTCTGGCTTTACACAATTGAGGAAACAAAACATCTTAAACTTTCATATTAATAAATATCTTCATACAAATTTCTTAGTTAACATATTAAATGCAAAATATCACTTTCTTATAATTTACTTCATACTCAATCATAAACTTTCACCTCATTGGTTAATTCTGATTTTAGAAATTCTGTTATCTTTTACCTGATTGATTATCAAGTCTCCAGCAGAAGTCTGTACTCCTAGCTTCTTAGTTGGAGAGGTTTCCAGTTGGAGTGGTGCACTACTTGAGATGGTGAGGTACCTAAAACAAAATATAAATATCTTCTTTAAACCTTCATACTTTGAGCAGAAGTAATGAATATCTCAGTATTCATAACAAACATAACAGATAACCTGGACATTTTAATACCCTAGAATTCACTGACCTATGTTGATTCCAAACTTTTTTGATAAGTTAGTCTGAATCCATTACGTTAAGAATATCATGTTCTAAAATGCATAAAAAAACAAAGTAACTATACATAATTAGGCTTTTTTGCACCTGAAAAGTCAACAATTGTCTCTCTATTTGTCAAAAAGTTTGACTACCTTGCCCCTGTTCTCCTGGGAGGTCCTTTCTTCTTCTTGGGGGGCACTGCAGGGCCCTGTTTAACAGGACCAGTGCCCTGTGTGGTATTGTACAAGTTAGGTGTAGAGCCAGTGCGATTGGGCCCCAATGATGGGTTCACCCTACTGAACCCCCCAGTGGAGCCCGAGGCCTGGAATGGTTTTGGTGCCAGTCCCAACTCGCTGTGCCTGCGAGCCTTGGATTCTGCTGAGAGCTGCATGGGTCGGACAGAAGCTGTGGCGGCAGGTCTGGGCATGTGACTGGTACTGGTATTACTATTACTGGGGGCTGAGGTGGTAGGAGTACTGTTGTTGGTAGGAGTAGGGAAGAGTCTCTCTGCTGCTGAAAGCCTCCTTTCTCGATCCTGTGATAAAAAAATGGAAAATAGTAACAATGAAACAAATAGAGAAGCAAAATAATAGCAATAATAATAATAAATAAATGGTGAGTTAACTTCAAAGCCCCTGAAAATTGATAAACTGACACAAACCCTTCTCCTTTTCAAATCTACTACCTGTCTAACAACCTTCGACTAATGTTAACATTAAGCTATGCTGCACACATATACAATGTTAGGGGCACCTGCGCACACTTCCTGCTCATGCCTCGTTGCTAAAAACAGCTTCTTTTCCCTACCTTTATTCTCTTCCCAGTGAAGAGCTCCTTAGGTGAAACAACACTGTTTTTGGCATGCTGTTGCAGTGAGGGGACTTCGTTCAACTTTCGTGGCAACGACTGAGACCGTCTACCTATGTGCAGAGATACCACCAGTGTTAGACATTGAACATGCATAGGCTCTTTGAAATAAAACATTTTTGCTGAAAAGACCAATCCCAAAGAAAGTGAATATAAAAGGAATACATGCACATGCATTTAGATAGTAGCCAGCTTATTACTAATATCAAAAGCTATCAATTATGTCATCAAAAATGATAAATAAATAAATAAATAAATAAATAAATAAATAAATAAATAAATAAATAAATACATGCAGCTCAGCTAAGCTTGTTATCTGCTGTTATCCATGTTAATACGACATGTTTTAAGTATTGTTTAGTGTGGCTACTACCTCCATGTATGCTCTGACACTTACTGCACCATTTACACAAACTTCTCCCCTCTTGAAACACTGAGCACAATGGCACCTCTAACACAACGGCACCTCCAACGCAATGGCACCTCTAACATAAANTAAATAAATAAATAAATAAATAAATAAATACATGCAGCTCAGCTAAGCTTGTTATCTGCTGTTATCCATGTTAATACGACATGTTTTAAGTATTGTTAAGTTTGGCTACTACCTCCATGTATGCTCTGACACTTACTGCACCATTTACACAAACTTCTCCCCTCTTGAAACACTGAGCACAATGGCACCTCCAACACAATGGCACCTCTAACATAATACCACAACTACCACAATTACACACGTGAAACCTTACCTCTTTCAGGCATGGAGTTGCTTCTCTCCCTTATTCCCTGCTCAGGTGCTTCTTGTGTATCCGAGGGTTTCCTTCTCTCCCTGTCCCTACTTCTCCTCTCTGTCTCTCTCTGCTTTACTTCTCTCAGCGTTCTTGCTCGAGGCTTATCTTTTGGAAGCAAACCTGATGAGTAAGTAATAAAGGAATTTGTTACAGAATAATCTAACAGAGGAGCAAATCACAGACATACTGCAGCCTAAAATACACTATCTTGAAAAGTCTAAATGAACCAAATGAGCAATAAAAATAGGACTTAATGTAATTTATTGAAAGTGATGTACTTTGTATACATACCAAAGAATCTTTTAGTGTTTTCATCTGCTTCACTGATGTCCCATGGTGTGTCACTGTCCTGTACACTGTCATCATCATCCTGAAATAAAAAATTACAATTACAAGCCCCGTCTCAGGATTACTGGTCATTACACATGACACAGCTTACATTTAATGTATTTGTTATATATACCATGGTTAACATAAACAAATATCAAAATAACAAGCATATGTTAGAATATTGCCATCATGTGGCATACCCAGGGTGACCTCCCTACCACAAATATAGATGGAGCCAGTGCCACTCACTTGGGAGAAAATATCCTTCAACATGCTCAAAATTCTTCCATTGTTTTTGACACTAAGTTCAGATGATGTAGACTTTGCTTTAGACCGAATCTTTGAATAACCCTCTTTCTAATACATAAGGTGCCCAGATATTCTAAATATTGTTCTTGAGTATAGTATAGTAATCTATCCTCCCACTGTTTTCATACCTGATCTAAATAGGATCTTCCATTTCTCCTATCATAACCAGAGAGTGCAATGTTCTTAGTATTATTACTGTCCAGATCTGTTTCATTATAGGTACTGGATTTGTCCTGTGGTTTGTCTGAGCCTCTGACATCTGAAGTATTAAAAGAAAAAATATTTATATAAGACATGCAATTTCTTATCAATAATTGTTAAGAGAGTGCACTTTTACAAAAATAAATCTATTTGGTTCACTTATGAATGAACATATTGAGCTCAGAGGTTTTTTTGTTTATACTAAATTATAAAAATGTTGACAAGAGGTCCACCACACCTACTGATGTGTAGTGTTGTCAATTAAAACACACCTGTTGAAGAATTGCGTAGATTTTGCATAGTTTCTCTCAGCTTCTTGCCCTGTTCATTAAGCCCACTCATCATATCTTGAACCTTGGACAGCTCCTGTTCCAACTTGACTTTGGCTCGGACAGATTCATTATTTGACTGTAATAAAAACTCCATCTTTAAAAATGAATTTTCAATGCTGTTCATATTTCAGAGTATTCATTACAATCTTTGATTTCACAAGCAATGTAAAAATTTATACATTACCATGAAGTTACTATGTACTAATAATCTGACACTTTATTGTAGAAACATCTCTAAAAATGAGCTTCACCTAACTGGAAAATGTGTTAGAAAAGCCAGGTTGGTAGAACAATTACATGACTGTAATACGCTTTGACTTACCAGGGTGGGGGTACTTGTGCTTTTCCGAACTCCATGAATTTTAGACCTTAAGATCTTGACCTCATGTTCCACTTTAGCATTTTCAGTGGTAAGTTCTTCTAATACCTACAAAAGAACACATTTGCTTAAGGAATCGTTTTAGAGACATAAAGATGTTCAGTGAATCATTAAATTTAAGTGCGGTGGGGGTTACAAATGTGAATAAGAAAATGTTTTTCATTATCGCATTTCTATGTAAAGAATGAAACTGTGATAATCTTATTAAAATTCTATTATAATTGACCATCAACAAAAAATTAGTAGATAAGTGCATAAGTAAATACACTTTTGGGTTTTGGACCTTTAATGTCTGTCAATATATGATTACCATGACTTTGAAGACAACGCAGAAAGCAAGATGATATTAGCCAATTTTTTTAATGGTTTGCATTTTGCAATCTGAATCAAACATAAGATAACTTGACTGGTTCCTTACCTTTGAGTTATCAGCCAGCTGTTGGCGCACCTTAGACAACTCTTTCTCGATATTTTTCTGCTGCTGTGACAGGCGAGCAGCTTCCCGGAGATCATCCTGAGAGTGCTCCAGCTGAGCCTTCACATTGTTTAATGCTTTCTCCAACAACTCCTGTAACAAATTGAGCACAGGTGATATCATAAATGGACAGGCGTGTTAATGGTTCAGTTACTGGTAATAATCTAGTATAATCTACAAATATGGGAATAAATCTGAACCTCTGTAATAAAGTATGCCGGTAATACTTACTTTATCCTCTTGTAGACTAGTCACCATAAATGACTTCTCCTGGAGTGAACGATCTAGACCGTACAACTTCTGTAACTTTTCCTAATTAAAAATATAATAACATCATCAACAACATTATCTGTTGAAAAGCTAATAAACATCTTCAATTAAAGTAATACAATCAACCATTAACAAGTTTTACCCTTATCTGTTATAATATTTTCATAGGAGATGAAAGGTTTTTGGCCATATTTGACAAAAATATCGCTTAAAGCCACTTTTAGAGCTAAAACTCACATTCAGTTTCAGATATTACAAGCTTCTGCTGTTTCCAGTTACTTTATAAAAATGGCATGCTAAAAACACTTGTTTATAACAACCTCTCAGACTCTATGTGCTAACACTAAAAATATTTTTTTAAAAGTAATTTTTCCCTTTACCTCCAGGTCCACCTCATCTTCACTGAGATGCTTCACCTCCTTTTCATAATCCTGGGCTAGCTTCTCTTCCTGCATCTTTCTTGTGAAATCCAGCATTCTTTTGGGAGGCGTGTACTCCTCTGGACTCAATAGATTCTAAAAATCAAGAACATTATGTTCTTTTTCATTCTAACTTATTATAGTAATTAACTTTTAAGTAAAAGTGTGTTATCTGGAACTGGAACTAGGAGCAACAATTATTAAATGGTTAAAACAGAAGTAACAATGATCAAATAGTTATAATGTTTTAATGGGTGGATCTAGAATTTCATGGAAGGGGGTTAAAAAACCCTTCTGCTATAATTATAATGTATTCTTAGCAACATGAAATGCATTCTTATAATATTTACCAGGTTGTCTGAAAGATGGCATTTTCTTTTGTATTAGTGTATACTATATTTTCAAGCTCAGTTTTAGAGGGTTTAACTAAACTCTCAGCTCCGGTGAGTTATTCTTACCCTCTTATACTGTGAAGCAAACATGTCATTGTCACCACCATATAAACTGCCCATTTTCACCAGATTGTCCACCAAATTCACCAAAGGTTTGTGTACCTCAAGCTGAAAAACCAACAATAATCATAACAAAGGTGTTCTTCAGTTTTATATCATGATAATTGTACTAACTTGTACAATAAATGCTCACTTATAAAAATTGTTATCTTGGGCATTTAAGAATTCCCGACTTGAAACTTTGAAAAAAAAATTTTGTAAAAATCTGACCTGTTTTTCAATGTCTTCTAGTTGCTTCTTGATGTCCAAGTACATGTGGTGGTCTCGTTCCATATAATCTGGTGGCCGATTCCCAGTCTGGAGCCTGCCAGAGTAATATTTATGTTTTAGCTATGGTTCAACTAGGAGTACTTAAACTTGTGACAATCAATTACAAAGGACATTGCCATTACTTTCCAAATAAGAGGACATACAGATTTACATCATCACAATCATTTCAATACCAATATGCACAGTATCCACTTACAATGCCTGGAAATCCTTCTCTCTCACTTTTGCTGTTTCCAACTGTTGTTTATACACATCCCTTGCAGCCTCCAGTCTGGACTGCTTTCGCCGTAATTCTATCAGAAGTAAAACCAACTCTTCATGCTGAAAAGATTGAAAAAATTTAATGAATTAAAGAATAATATTAAGTGGAGTTTTCGATCAAAATACAGTTAAGATTTGGAGTGGGGCCTATATTTGAATATTCTTGGAATGTTGGCTTCTTAAGGTGAAACACAAGAGATTTGTCGAATGATGCAATGTTTTTGCAGAATAAATAGTTTTCTAGTTTACACCATTTTAAATCTACATTCAAAACATTAAATAATCTACTTACAGATTTCCCAAGTAAATCACTGGCCGATATACTGAGTCTTATTTTTCCATTCAGGGCAAAATTCTTCCTGAGATTCTTAAAATTCTTGGTGGCCTAAAAGAGAATCGAAATTTGTAAATGTAGACAGAGGGGAATCAAATGAAAAGATCATAGTTTTAAATTCTTATCAAATATAGAAGGGATTGCAATTTAAATATATGAAGTTTATACTTAAAGTATCTAATGGAGTCATAGAATGATCCTTAAATCTGACACTTTTACTGGGTTTTAAAATATGAAACATCTTAAATGTGACGCATAAACAGAATTCTCAGTTTTAAATATCAAGCATTATAGTTTTTCTACCAGGGACACAAGAATTCAGTTTTAAATATTACAAGTAAAAATCTTTTTTAATGCAACACATTAACTCAAATACTGAGCAGCTACCCTCTCCTCTTCAACAGTCAACTCACTATGACATCCTGGTCAGACATGTCAGGTTCTTCCTTCACTGTGCTGATGTCCAGGCTTTTTAGTTTATCCCTGCCTCTCTGGGGGGCAGCACCTTCACTGGGATAACGACCACCTAAGAAATAATAAGGACTCATGCATAAAACCACCAACTTAATTAACTTATGTAGTGTTTCTCGTACATAGTTGTCTATGTCCACACATGAATCAAGCTTCTGTTTCATTACTATACTGCAACAACCCAATTTTAAAGAAGTTAGTTTTTTGTTAATTCCATTATCTACTACCACCACCACCTATTTCTATAACATCTGTCTCTCACATCTCTTAATCCATTTTCCAATTTACTATTGGATTAAATGAGTTAAAGACAAAGGGGGAAATAGTTTGTGTGAAATATTCCAATGTTCAGTTCATTATTTCATCTACTTAAAGATTGTTTCCGATGATTTTTTATCATTTAGATTTTCATTTGAAATCAATGCCCTTCCTTGCAATAATGAGACAACATTCATAATCTCTGCAGTTTTCATACCACAAATTTAGACTTAATATTGTAAACACAATACATCACTACCTGCAGACCAAATACATACAAATGACTCAAACTGATACAAAATATTTGCCCCCTATGCCTTAGAGGATTGTAATATTATGTCCCGTATTATTTCTAGAAACACACCAACCTTCCCTAGCCAAGGTGGTGGAATGGGCTGTCATTTCCCCAGCTGAACTATCAGCCATGAAGGAGACATGGTGCGCACCTGTAGATGGCGACACCCTACTGCTGCCCATAGGTGGCGCTATATTGGCCTTACTGCTGCCAGGTGCTGCACTTGGTTGCATATGGGTTGCATCCATAGTGGACAAGGAGGTATTGACTTGGGGAGGAGAACTACTTTGATGAACACCGAGAACACCGTTAAGGTGAGTATTTTGATTAGGAGACCTAAGATCTTCTGACACATTTGAATGTGAAGGAGATTTAGAACTGGGCGAGTTTGGTTTGACAGGTCCAGAAGTCAGAGGTTTGTTGACAGTTTTTGGTTTAAAACTGCTAAGTGGCTGCACAGCCATCATTGGAGGAGATTTGGTTTTGGGCATAGGGCGAGACCCTTTGCCCTGGGGTGTTATCGTAACTATTTCAACTTTGGAGCGATTGGCCAAAATCTGCTCACCACTTGGGATGAGATGATCACTCGGAATTTGCTGTTTGAGTTCACTGTGTTCTCTGTCTTGCGACAGTAGGTCTTCTTCAGATGTCCCCCCTCTGATTTCTTTTCTCTCATGGCCATAAGATTCAATTAATTCATTCAGTATTCTGATAGATTCATCTGTATTTGCAATTGTGGGTGTTTTGCCACTATGGACAGATCCCTCCAATATATCTCTGAATGAGAAATCAGGTATGGCCGAATCACTGAGATTTTCATCAACTAGAGATCTATGAGGTACTTTTGAGTTATCTTTACTCATGGTCACTGTGGATGCAACCCTTTCTTGGTGTGGAGTTCTTGTATCACCCCTTTCTCCATGCCTGCCTTCTGATAACAAAACAAAGCACATAACAACATGCAGAGACATGCACCCATACCAGCAAATCAAAGTTAAAACAATCCCTAGGACACAAGCCATTTTCTTTTTAAAAGCTTTAAGCCAACCAAGCAAAAGGAAGGAGTTGAATTCAAAGCAGACAGAAGTTTACTCGTATTTACAATAACAGAAAGATTGTAAAAATTAATAAATGAACACTGGATAGAAAATTTAGGACCAGCAAAATTTAGGACCAACAACAACAAATTTGGTAGCAAAAGAATATTTGATAAATGTAAAAAACTTGTTTTCTACTAAAGTAGGAATAATAATGAAAGTGGAAATAAAAAGAAGATGACATGTCTACCATTAAGTTAGTTGCTAAGCCACACGGTGCATGAATATAAGCTTGTTGTTATGTGACACAGCATTGTAAAGAAAAGGCAGACGACACAAGAACACCTACCACACTGCAACCAAATGCTGCACCCCTCAGCTGGCTACACTTCACCAACATAAAGCAGGCCAGAATCATACTTCTATTGCTCTGCCCAGATAATTTTTCAAAAATCACATCAATAGGGCATCATTTTGAGTTCATTATCTGATTTCTGAATACCGAATTAATGATCAAACTGTTTTTATTTTGAGGGGTGCTTATTGTGCAGAAAACCAAAAGCAGTGATTTTCAAACCCCATTTAGTATTATTAAACAAATTTGTGACTGATTCCCCTTAGCAAAAATTCTGTCTCTCACACAGCTTATAAAACCTTATACTGCATTACATAACTAATTATAATAAATAACCTTAATAAAATTTTGATAAGCTGTCATTCTGTATTCCTGTATATTTTATTATTAAATGTCCAAGAGTCCCTTTTGTTATATAAAGGCTTTGTACATAATTCACTTATTAACTCATTCCGTAACAGAAGCTAAATGAAAGGTCAACATTGTTTTCAGCAATAATACTGTCTGTATTGATAAATTAAGCCTCAATAAGTTACACCCTGCAAGTCTATCACTGATAGAATGCAAACATTTAATGCAATGTTTTGAAGCTTGTTTAAAAGGCAAGTCCATCTGCAAAAATCCACTGCTGCAAAGCCCCACAATCAGTTGCAAGTGAAGTATTAGCATTAGTTGTGTAATTAATTATGTTCTATGTAAAGTAATACAAAAGGCTTACTTAGAATGACTTGACTACTGTTCTATTCATTATTACAGTTGTCAACTAAAAACAAAAGTATTTCATGTCGAAGTAGCTAAAATAAAAATAAATAAACTAAAATACTGACTGAAACAGAAGAAAACCAATACCTTAGTAAGTTGAAAAATATATTAACTCTGTTAACTGCTATCTGTTAAAAACTAAGATATGATCTATTCTACAACTTGTAGCCGATCTAATTTCATGATGTCCTTATCAGGTCTTTTAAATATCTTGACATAATTTTCTTCACTTTAACGGATGCACATGACAGAACACCATAAATTGGCACTGTTATAAGAATAGTACAAAGATAAGTTATAACCTATAAAAACTGCTATGCAGGATTCATATGGCACAATGAGAAATAATACCAACAGTCTTTCAATGTGGTAACAGTTACTAGAAAAACAAATCCTCCCCTTTTTAATATGCCGCTGGAAAGCCTCACAGATTATAAAGTGAACAGTGATGGCCACAACTCATGTTAGTAATGTAATGTAACAAAAGACTGTCTGCGTCTATAATCACTTAACACACACATATTTCACACCCATGTACCTGGAGGATCATTGGGATTTGAATAGAAATTATCCAGGTGTTCATAGTCTGCTTTGGCAGGTTGGTGGTGCCCCTGCGCCACAGTGGGGTAGCCCCCGTAGTGAGCTCTTCTGTCATCTTGGTGTCCTGCATGCTCTGAAATGGGGTTAGTAACTCATGTTCTCTCCACCATACTTCCAATAATTTTTCCATTTTGTCAAATGAAGTATCTGTGCCCCCAGTAATACTGACTGTACTACCTTCCCCTTGCCTTAAACACTACCAATGACCCCATTAGTATTGCTATTAATTATTAATCACATGCAATCATTCAAAATTTAATGGAAAGATTTTATGCACAGATCAGATTATTTTTTAGGAAGTAATTAAGAAATATGAATTGTATGTTTTTTAAAGTTGTATTATCTTACCAACAGTCCCTGTTCTGTAATACGTTTAAATTTCAAATAACATTTACTTATATTCTTGTCAAAATTACATTGGCAAAGCATCAAACAGCCTCATTATGCCACCATGAGTTTCTGAGCAATTGCAATGATTCTCTATATTTTCTGTAATAAAGGACAATAGCTTAAATTTCAGTGTACCATAAAGAAATGGCCTACCTTTCTCTCTGGGTCTGGGTTGCATTCTTTCTACTTCATCTTTAGCTTTCAAATAACTGTCTGGATATCTTGGCATCTCTTCTCTTGGTTTTGGTTGTTCTTTCTGTCTTTGTTCTTCTTGCTCCACATGTTGTTTAGCCCATAAATAGCTGTCAGGAACACTGGGCTCCTGAAAAAACATTTTGTCAAGTTAGAATCAAGAAAAGTTTGTGTCCACATCTTTTACTGAGCACATTTAGTGCAAGATGCTCACACAAAATGTGTTTTTTTAGAATACCAAGAATTATGCTTTTTTAGAATACCAAGAATTAAATTTTAACTTATCAATTTAAATAGTTGAAACTTTTAAAAGAAGGGTCAGGGGGTCATTTTAGGCACTACCCATTATGGTGATCAGAGAATAGTTTAGACTGTTTTAAATTCATGTTCAAATCAAGCATTAATAGTATATTTAAATTACCTGTGGCTGTGCTGGCCTTGTCTGCTGCACCTGTGGGTACTGGAAGAAATGAGGCTCATTCACGTGCCGCATGGAATTCTGGGAAGACTCCAACATATTTTGAGCTGTGGTTGGGGTCTTCTTTGCAGCAGCATCTTCTACCAGTTTGTCCCTGTATGCAGCAGGATATGGGGGTCTGACAGGGGCAGGGGAATCTTCCTGAAAACTGGAGCTGAGATTTCTACGTGCAGTTTGTCCTGGAATGTTCTCATATACAGGCTGTTTAAGGTGTTGAGCCTGTGTCTGCTGAGGCTGATGTGAAGAATGATCTGGATTTGGACTCTGGTCTGGTCGACTCAGGCTACTCCTTTGCATTCTATTATGCCAGTCTCTCAACTGTCGTAGAGATTCTTGTTTCTGCAACTCTCTCCTAGAAGATTCATCATTATTACTCCTTCCTTGACCTTGAGCTGGTCTGTTGTAATCATACTGGCTAAGGGGCCTTCCTTGGTCTCCTTTTGACCTGCCTGGACCACTATATCCCATGCTGTTCTGAGCAGCATCCTTTTGGGATTCTTGACTGACATGGACCTGGAGTGGCCCAAGCATTTCAGAGGAGCCACCATGACCTCGGCCACCTTGTGTGTCCCTGAACTGTTGATCGGTTCTTTGTGGCCTTTCGTATTCATAATAAGCTGACACTGGCCTTGCTGGCTGAGCACTACCTGGCTGTTTTTGTTCGTATGGCATATTCTGTGGCTGCCTCATGAAATCTCCAGAATCAGGTCGACGTTGGACGTAACCAGATCGTACGGGTTCCTCACGATTTCTGAACTGTGACGGTGCTTGTTGCTGTGGATGCTGAGGCAATGGTGCACTATGTGTTGGTGGCCCAGGTGGGCCACCAGACGGTGGCATATCTTGCTGAAATTGCCTTCTGTCTAAAGATATACTCCTATTGTTTGTTCCCAGTCTCTGTGGAGATCTCCCCCTCTCTGGTCCCGCCTGAGGCAGAGTGGTACTAGAGCGTGTTGCTGGGTAACCCCTGTCACCAGAATGAGGCTGGTTGCCTGGAAGATGTGGTGGTCCCGCAGAACCTGGGCCACCGTACGGTGGTGCCCTCTGTCTGTAATCTCCGTGTGAAGATTCTGATGTGTAGCTCCCTCTCTGCATGCCTGAGTCTGGCAGTGGGCGGCCATAGCCATTGGGAACTGACCTTGGATCGTAATTTTGTGGAATGTGACCATTACTTGAGGGGTTATAGTGGTCAAAAAGTCTGCCACCAGAGTAAGACTGGTCTCTCATTGCGTCTGAGCCGTCACTGTTTCTGCCAGGTGGTGCTTCATGCACATTGGGTGCTGCAAGATGGTGGCGGTGAGGTGGAGGTCCAAATCCAGCATCTTCACTGGCATTTGATACATTTGGAGATGGCTGGGGAGGGTTAAACTGCCTCTCCACACTGAAAGAAAAGAGAAAAAATGTAATGTGATTTGTTGCACGTGCATATTACAGCACTTTTGATGTAAACAAAATATTCTTACTTAAGTTCAATATTTGTAGCATACTGTTTATACTTTGACAATAAAGTTATATGAAATCAACAGCATGCAACATTGTTCTAATGCTAAGATCAATCAGTTGTTAATGTTATTATCATCATCATCACGTTTCCATATTCAAGCACCATTATGAACCAAAATGTTACCTGCACCAGAAAAAGCTGTTCATTGATAAATCTTTATGCTGAAATATGTTTGGTTAAATGGGTTAGATGGTTACATTTCCTCATGATAAATAACAAAACAAATTTTTTAAAAATTTCTTATAATAAAAGCTGGTTGAAGCAATGTCAATAGATTCACAGAATCAATGGGTTAAGAGTGAACTAAAGCATCAATTCATCACAGCCGTGACACAGGATTAGCTAAGCAAGACAAGTACCCTCTACCAGGGCTGCAGAGGAATTTTTGTAGATAGACATTCACAGGTATTTCTCTGGCTCTTCAATAGCTGTGTACATATCTGTCCAACGAGGATTTTTACACAACTTTGTGATCACCAAGTCAGCCACTGGTAGAGAGCCATGAATAAGGATAAACAGAAAACAAAAAGACTGGGGTATGTGTAAGAAGCCTATACTGGAGAACATCCACTCCAACTGCAATGTTGCCACTATTCAAAGCAGAATTGATTATAATAGACTTCCATACAAAGTGTTGAGGCTATGACTGATTACAAGTCTTTGGCTGCAATCTACTTGAAAATAAGGTGTAACATGCACCTGAAACATCTATTACTGAATACCGAAACATTTAAACTCTCCTTTTTATGTTCAGGAGAAGATTTGAAGAAAAATTTCTAAATTATTCTTTAATTTTTTTGCAATTCTAAAAAGAACAGGGGGAATGCATCAAGTCTTCCCGAGGGCTAAAGGTCTGGTAGTGTGGATGCCATATGAAAAAAAAAACAACTTATGCTTTGTTAGAGGCAGGTTATGTAAATAAGCAGCATGTTTTTTTTCAAAAAAAATATCACCAAATATTCTACCACAGACAGACCTGGCGTTGCTATGGTAGTCATGTGGGGGGTACTGAGAGGTCTGCTGCCATCGTCTTTGATAGCTACAGAAAATAAAAACATAAGACAAAAAGAAACATGCTCGTGTTACAGAACACTGACTAGATATCAAGAAGCAGACTTAAACTTGTAGTATTCTATTATTTTTTTTAGAGAATATATTGATCAGTGTCACAAAATGTGAGAAGATGCTTTAATGAGTTAAAAAGTCATGCTACAATTGCTAAAATTAGTACTGACTAAGGCTACAAAAAACGCAATTGATTTAAACCATCTACATCACCTAATTCATCAAACTAAATCCAATTTTACACAGTAGCTAGGAGCTAGCAGTTCACTTGTATATTAGTACAGTGTGGCAGTGCCTTTCTGTTTGTACCATGCTTCAGCTGAGCATTCATACCTCTTTAATGTCTTTCTGATCCCTCCCTACTCCCATAATTTGCATCCTCAAAATATCTCATACTGTTTTGCAGAAATCGACTCTTTTTTTTTTCAAACCTATGTGTTTTTTTTTTAATTTATACATTGCCCCTTTCTTTCTGAACGCTAACACACAATCTTACGTTGGATCTCTCTGCAAAATGGTGGCTAGGCTCATGGCATTCATCCATTTCTGCATCCCTTCCTTGGTCTCTGCAGCAAAGTAGTAGGTCCTCATGTTCTGATGCTCAGCCTGGAGGAAGATGGGTGACAAATAGGTTTCTTCAATGTGAGTATATACAGTACACAAAAAATACACTAGAGTTTTTTCAACTATATCTGGACATACAATATCTGTCAATGATCGATTCAGAAATGTCCATGTATGTCATCTCAATATGGAGTTCATTAATCTTAATCATTTTTAAATGTGCATGCTCTCTTGTTTCTTTAATGTTATCCAAAGCTAAACCATACCATATCTAACCTTTCACAAGTTGCAAAAAGATAGGATAGGAATATTTTCAATACACTATATGCTATGCAGACATATCAAGAGGGTTTTTTTTATGCACACATCAGTACCTTGAAAGCAAATTTCTTCCCTATTCCATCATCTCTTGCGCATGGGTTAATCTTGTAACTTGGTAACAGAATAGAGCCTAAAGTCTGTTGTTCCTCTGGGCCTAAGAAAATGTTCAGATAAAATAAAATAAATCATAAATATTGCCCAAATCTTGCTGCAATTTCAATGCAGAGATAAAAATAGTCAAGTAAATTTAGGAAATGAATCTTAAGAAATCCGAACGTGAAGGAATGTCAAACATTCTTTTGTCTCATAGTATGTCACAGTGTTTGATGATATCTTCCTTCATTAAGTCAAGCTGCATATAAATTGTCTCTTGTATTCACAACCAGTCCATTTCATCCATGAATCATTTTCGCACATTTTATAGACTAAACAGCGTGAGGCAAATGCAAACAATGAAACAGACTATCAGCTATTCTTACATCTTGAGGCAATTGATATAATATCAAAATGTGCTTTTTAACTAAACAAATTGCCCACACTATATCATTTGACCCATCATAATACAGGTGCAATCCGTACAAATGACTCATGTATATGTATCTCAGTGCTGTGATCTGACATCACTCAGTGCAGTTGATGCTCTGATAACACCCTTACCTTTATAATAAAACAGACAAAAGTCGGACAGGACAAACCACCTTCTTTTCCACTGCTTAATGGTCCCTCCCTCCTGTAAAAACAGAATAACAAAGACGCGTATTGTTCCACTGGCTGCACCACTTCAATATGTGGCATCTTTCTTTGCCACATACAGCACACATATAGGGTTATAGCCCTCCAGTCAGTTCCTTACTCTGACATTATTTTTCCCACAAAATAGTATCACAAACTCAGCTGTATACTCACTGTGCCACATCACCTGAAAGGGTACCTAGCCTCAAACCCAATACCTGCTCATTCACACATGTCAACGTTAAGCAAGCGAGCAATGATGGTATTATGCAGTTTGCATGTAAACACACACCTAAATTGGCAAAATACTGAGCGCTACAGCTACTGCTACAAGCCCTGTCCAAATCACTCTAAGACAAGCTCTCTACACACACTCACACAGGTCACTTAATGGGAATTTTAAGTGGTTCGCTGTCCCTCCAGGGTTGAGGTTGCCCCCTTTATCACAGCCACTAAATCACATGGAGTTATGACTAATCCAAACATTCACTGTAGGCTTATGTAACCTCCTACACTTCCAGCAATGGGCAGGTAGCAAAAGCTTTTGTCAAAGCCCATTACTTAATATATGGCATCTTTCTCCACTTGTTATAAAATTGTGCCAGGAGATTACTGATGGTTTATTGCATAGCCGTGTTCCCTAAAACCAACCAACCGTAGTTGGACATTGAGGCTATATATTTATGTTCACCTCCCTGCATTAAGCCATTTTTTTCATAAAAATTGCTACCAGGACACCTTATTTTACTTTTTCACATAGTTCAACATGTAAGATTACATCATCCTGACTTGTCAAGTATATAATGACCTGTCAATTGTATAACTTAGCATATATTTTATACAAACATGAAAAAATGCAACTTTGAACTTGCATAAAACTTGCATGTTTCTTACTAATAATATACATACTTAATCTTCGTAACTTAAACTTAAATATGTATCTAAACACACACTGCCACATGGTCAAAAGAAAGGTTTGTGTCAACCCAAACCAACCACTATAAATGTACATATCAACTTTTTTTGGTCACTGGAACTACAATATACCTAAAGACACACTACCACTACATGACATACTACTGTAGAGCATTTCTTGCCTACCTGTTTATACAGCCAGCCCTTCATAGAGACTGGGGCCTCCTCACTTCGCTTGGCCATCGGAGAGTCAACAATCCTAGATAAGAATGAATAACATGCTCATCATTTCAGATCGTTTCACTTACCATGCAGATAATTCAAGCAGAAGAGAGAAAAAGGCAGGGGTCTTATTACAAGTCATTGAATAAGATTTTTCATCCTACACACAGCATCTACCTATGTATGGGAGTAAGAATGGGACATTCCAAATTTATTTCGCAAACTTTTGAACTCTCTGTTGCAAAGTTGGAAGGAACTAAGTATGCACAACTCAAAGCATTTTCACTACATGTCTAACCTGCTTGCTTTACATAAAGAAAATTTAATTTTCAAAATAATAGTTATATGAATGAAAATTTAAAACAACAGTTTGCCAAATTTTACTTCAAAAAAGTATCAGAGCAGAAACAGCAGCAAAAAAAATATCATCAATGTTATCAAAACACACAATGTAGATTTCTTTTATGCAGTAAAATCTAATAACAGGTTGATTTGATACTTGTTTAAATCACTATGAAATTTAGGTAAACTGAGCCAAGACAGTGAATGATTTCGTTTTAAAAAAATAAAGTAAAATTCATCAATCCAGACAAGTTTGGATAAGCTTGAGTGAGTTCTCCGTCAGAGAAAATCCACTATAATTGAACTGCTACAACAAATTTGAATGGCTAGAAAGTGATGCCTTGCTGTTAACAGAAAATGAAGTTGCGCCTCAACTCAGCCGTAAAATTACGCGCTGAATCATTTAGCAGACAGACAATGTGACACACAACAGTCAATCTGACTCAAGTACATCAAGCCAGACATTATTACGTAGTTACTCAAGGTAAATGGCACAGATACTGCTGAACAGCATTATAACACGACTATTAAAAAAATCCCCGAGGCAACCTAATCCAGTCTTCATATTACAAACACTGAAATCTCAAGCACTTAGGTTTTTTTATCGATTGCTTGTTTATTTCTAAATCAATAACCACTCAGACATAATCTAATATTCTGGATAATGATTACCACTGTGAATAAGACAAAATTTTCATTTTATATGATTTAAGTTAAATTTCACTCTTGTGATTCACGAGCAGCGATTAAATCTAGTAAGAAAAAATACTTGCTTTTTGCTTCCTTTCTTGATCAAACTCTGGAAAACAGAAAAAGCACCAAATCAAACCTTTGCATGAAAACAGGCACAAAACAAATCAGGACCAGACCAATGTTGCTTTGTGGGGAAAACAGGTAGTGTGCACACACAACATTCTTACTACCACTTATTAATTATCCTGAAGTATTTCTTCAGTTATTCAACATGACAGAGAAATATTAGAAGTTTGCGCTTTAGACTCCAGAAGCCTTGAATGAAACACCACCTGCAAAGCAACACAACACTATATATATTTACTGTATGTTGTCTATATCCAGGGCACTAGTTTGCACAATGAGAAAAAAGTGTAAAATCTAAACACACTCAGGAGGCAAACCTTTATGTTTTACATTTTGATCAAATAGCTGAGATACTGAGTGTACCAAAACATTTTTTACCTTTTTTTGCCTGATCCATTAATCTTCACAGAGGACCATCTTTAGTTAAACAATTTTTCAATATTTAAATAGCGATACCATGATACTAGACTGGGTTAATTCTCAAATAAACTGGCCTAGAAACTGGACATAAGTTTGCTATATACATTTGAAAACTTGTGGTATAATTTACTCATTCGTACTATTGTAATATTCTAGACTTAAACAATGGATTTGCTTTCCTTGGTTTTCTTTTGAAAAATTGTGGGACATTGCCTTTGATTTCACTAATTGCACAGTTTTATAATTATTTCAACCCCAGAATCGACACTTGAAAAGTTGACTTCTGAATAACTGCAGAATCTTTACACACAAGAATTAAGAGTCTCAGAGTTTAATGCTATGCTTATCAACCCAGGTTTTTTGACAGGAACAGTTGACTTTATGCAATAAATGCCAACATAAAAATACTCTCTCTTCTATAAAGATACTACGGATCAGTTGAATTGAACAAATAGCTCTGTAAAATGATATATTTTGATTTTCTGGGCAACTTGAATTCATTAAGATCTTTTTCATTACTGAATGTTGTTTCTTTAAAAAAGTAAAGGAAGCATTTTGTTTTTTATTTTCATAAATAGTAATGCTTTACTTAATATGATATGTATATACCTGTCCAGTAGTAAACAAAAATGATGAACATACACTATTTTCATTTTATAAAAAGAAACATGAAAACCAGACAATATTTTAATTCACACCCTTAGTACATTTTAAAACCTTGATAAGAATTCAATATACTACCTATCTAGATATACTGAGAGTAGTAATTTTGCATACTGAGTGTAATAATACTATAATGTTTTGTGTAATTGTGATAAAGTTTGCAATTACTTACCCCTCTTTTGGGTTCTATGCTACTTTTCTCCTTTGGACTTTCTATTTTCCTGCAAGTAGAATTAACAAACTCTATATTGTTAGTCTATGCTTAATCACACAAGAGCACCAAAACAATATAAAAGGCAAAAGACATTTGCTAAAAGTTCAACTCCGACTAACAAGGCAACATGCATGATGATGTTTCCAACATGAAGTCACAAACAGTATACAACCGAATGCCAACCTGGCCAATTAACAGCCAAAAACAAGTTTAACTTTTTAAACAACAAGGCAGTGACTCAGGCCTGAAGCATGCTGCCTGGATTCAAAAACATGTTCCCCAACATTGTAAGCTACCCTGGTTGGAGATGACAATTAGTTAACAGGTGGGAATAAAACCCCATTTTTGGACTGATGTGAACAAAAAAATTCAAATTTACTGCAAAGCATTTTAAGTGTATATACTGTAGAAAGTGGTGTTCATCAAACCTGGGCGTAAAAGCAGTTCTGGCATAATAGTCTGTCATTAATCCATGTATACAGAGGAGTTCACCTACTGTCAGTATATATTATGTTATGCTATGTCACATAAGCGGCTGCTGACATTATAAAGATCTCTTGTAAAGAGTGCATGTAAAACCCAGGCCAATATGGAACAAGCTCATTTTTGTGACACGTCACTGTTTTACCTAGTATTTAAAATGAGACAGGTAGATTTTTTTTTACCAATTCTTGCAGTGACAATGTGGGAAACAAAATTTAGGGAAAAAAACAATCTTCAGTCATGACAACATCTAACCTATATTTCCTATGGTAAAACAGCTGTATGAAGGACAGGCAAATAATGGTCAGAAAATGCATTATGCAGACATTACACAGATGGCTCTTAGGGGTTTGAAGTTTTAAGGACATTTTAAATGTATCATTCCCAATGAACTTCAAAATTAAGTCCCAATTAAGAATGTTCGCAATTTTCTAAATAAAATTTGTGATGAAAAATGCCCCTCCCTTCTCTTCATTTAAAAACCATTATACACATGGTCATTCATTTTTTATAGCTTTCAAAACTCACAGTTAAAAGACTGAAAGTAAATTTCAAAATATCAAATCAAATGCATTTTTTCAGTACTTCTGAGTTTGAATTTAACTAACCTTCCCTACAATTAATCAATTAATGACATATTTCGATATTTAGAGGATTTATCTTGGGGGGGGGGGGCAGGGAAGTATCTACACTTCTTAAAAAGGGTAAATCATTGAAATTGTACAAATAATGCATCACTGAGCAAAATAAATCATTTCTAAGCCATCCCCAGCCTTCACTGTTAAAAATACATTTATTTGTTTATAATTTGGATTATTTTGCTTCTTTCAAACAAGCTATATAATATGATGCATCAACAAAAGGAGACACCATTTAAAGCTTTTGCTACTTTATAACCCTTATCAGGGATTCCCTAATAATAGCAGTTAGGAAGGTATCTCATTCACGATAACCAAATGTCTGTATTTATGAAATGAAACCATGAAGGGAAATATTAATATTGAACATAGGGAAAAGTGTATGTGTGTAAGCATGCATGTGTGCATTTACTCTGAAAATGACAAACCACCAGAAAAGTTCATAAACCCAAAGGCAAAACCGAGTCTCTTTCCAATGATACAAAAAGCTAACTATCTATCCACGTGTTCTCTTGGGTCTTAGATATCTATGTGCAAGGACTAATAAAAGCCTTGGGTATAGCAAAAAAAAAAAAAAAAAAAAAAAAAAAACTGAGAAAATATTCAAAGTAAAATCTGTCTTACTGTTGGGGTGCTCCTTCCTCTGCCATGACCTCTCCTGTGACAGGGTGCGTAAATGTGCTGACTTGAGTATTATGACTGAAAATAAAAGAAACAGACACAACATTTATAAGAAGACCAACTGCAATTACCACTGTGATAATACATAGAGAGCAAATGTAATACTTAATCTTAATAATATGGAATCATGCTTGCTTATTTTGTGACCAAAAATGAAAAAGGACTATTCAATATATATATATATATATATATATATATATATATATATATATATATATATATATATATATATATATATATATATATATATATATATATGCTATGATGTTGCCAACTTTGCCCATCAAAAGAACATTTTCACATTTATTTTGCATGCTCTTTGATACAACAATTAACAATCTTTCACTTCATGTTATTAATTTACTCTCTAAATTGTTTTCAAAAATAAGAAAAAGATGGTACTTAAGAGTGGGATCTCCTTTGAATGGATCCTATGAATTGTTATTAATATGAATTGTTTTGTGCCATGCATAATTAGAGCATAATTTTATAACTTAAATTGCAATTACCCATATGCTACACACCTGATGAGCGCTGCTTTTTTCTTATAATGCGTACTTAACGATCACAAGGGCACATTAATATAATATCACATCAGCCCTTGCCATAATAGCAAACATATTAACCTGGTTTGTATGAATACAATGATTCATACTCTACTAAACATATGCAGAGATTGTATTTTTAGGGGGTCTGAACCTTTGACGTGAAGTAACTTTATTCAAAGCACATTCCTCTGGCACCAAGCTATTGTTGCCTTGCGAAGGACATAATATCACCCATATATCAAGCCATGCATGCCAAGCTTACTACATTCTTACACAAACCCATTTATTGATGCCCATGATATTTAAAGTGACACGCGGAAAAATAATAGCTGCATACTTGGAAATAAAGAGCAATTATTTCAAGCTGCTTGGATAAAAAACCTAACAGTTGTCAAGCCATTCCAGAGTATAATTAATCAAAGAAAAACCCTGGTAGAAAAGCTTGGCTGACCTATTACATATATACACATCTAATGATCCACTTCAGGATTTAAAAAAAGGTATCTTTTTCAAATTCTTTAACACTTAAAATGCAAGGCGAGTGAAGCTGTTTTTATTACATTGAGGCTTTCTAACATTTTAATATACTAGCATTTCTAGTATATTCATCTGCAACACAGGTTGGTAATAAAAGCAATTTCAAAAACAAGTCATGACCTCTCTAAACTAACATACCTGCACATGTGCAACATGCTCCCAATTCAAACCACTCTTATTCTATCAATTCCAATAAACATCAAAAACCAGATTTTATGGAGTACGTTTCCAATTCACTTATGCATATGTGTGAATGCATACTTCTTTAAAAAAATTTTTTTTTTCATCACAGTAACTGCATGCTAACTGATTGACTCGAATGCCCAAGTCTGAAGAGATGATTGAAGGGGAGAAGTGTAAAAAAATAAAACACGGAGCAGAGCTGCCAGAGACGACAAAAGACAAAGAAATGTGGCACAGCATGATCGCTAACGACCTTTAATATGTCAGGAAGGGCTACATACTGAGCCTTAAGAATACTGATATGCTGTTAAAGGTACTCTTACTAGATCAATAATATATGTTCACTTACAGGTACTGCAATATATTCAAATACACAAGGGTCATTGCAGTCGCCACACAGGACTACTTGTAAATAACGTCTTTAATATCATTAATATTTAATGCTTCTCATTATCAAGCATTCACTATTGACTAGTTCAGTGCTTGTTAGGCAAAGTTCAACCCAAACAAGCATATCTATTATCCATAATTAATTTTATACAGACATTTTAATAATATCTTGTCATTGTTACTTTATTTATCTTTTAATTGATTTCCAGCACATTCCTGCTTTTTTACCTCAATATTATATATTTGAGACACATCTGTTTCGCTTTGACCATTGTCCCATTATTCTATCATTTCTTTCTTTATGGACAGAAATCCTGATGGTTCCCAGCTGAACTTGAAACTGACTAATGCACATATATAGCAATATCTTAAATAACATTCCCCACAGGTAAAAAGAATCTCATTCTTTGCTGTGACAAACACATTACTTAGTTACCACTGGCATATTGAACCAATAGTTGGATCTAGACAAATAGTTTTAAGCCAAACTCAGATAGTCAACATCTTTCCCCTACCTGTACAAGTCTTCCTCTGACCAATAGAAACTCTGTACATCAAAACAGCCTTGCAGCATCGAGATATTTCTCACACGATAAGCCAACACTTCAAACTTACTTATCTTCATTATTCCGGTGAATTAAAATAAAGTTACAATACCCAAAGCTTATACGATTTAACATCCAAATAAAAATATAAGTGCTATGGTTTATCTAGGGTTAAACAAATCCCATTAAGGCTTACTCGATATTTGAGGAAAATGCCGTTTACACAGAGCGGCACCCAAGAACTCAATTTCGGGATAAATTCTACCTCTTTCAGAACTTAATATGGCTTGGCGACAAAAGGTGAGAATCAAAGGTGTTAAAGAAATGTTGTGAAGAGACAATATATGTGCATTAACTGATATTCTTAGCTTACATACTTTCACCTGAAAATCACTAATCTAGCTGACAGACTGTTGACCCTTGAATTTGATTTCTTTACTGTCAGGTGTAAAGGAATCTTAAGCCACAAACAAGAAGAATGTGATAAAAAAAATATAGTACAGTAATTGGTGTCACAGATTAACCCCAACTCGAATATCTTTCAGAATGCTCCCAGTAGGAGTTTGCTTCCCTGTAGCCAAGGTAGAGGATTCTATTCCATCTGACTGCTATTCTACTATTTCAACACAATATTAAACTTTGAAAAAATCTGCCACTTCATCCAATTATCATTCCTTTCTATATTTATCTATATTTCTATATTTTTTTTTCCGCATAATGACAGTTGCATTTAAATTCAAAACATCACAGGGCAGATGATAGTTGCCAATGGAACAACAATCTCAAATGCTCCCAAGCATGAGCTAGTTACATGAATCTATAGGACATATTAATAAGGTGTTTTTCTACATTGGCATGCATAACAATTTCTTATTAATTCATAATTCAAATACCCACCATCTTTTATGATCAAAAATGAAAGTGAAGTATTATATTGATGCACATCAATCATGAATAAATGGTATATCTGAGAAGTAATACTTACTCAATAAAATACAGGACACCATCTGAATTGAAAGCATGTTCCCAACCTCTTGGCAGGTCTGAAAATGAGCATAAAAAAATTGAAACAAAAAATTTAAAATTCAAATTTTTGGCTATTCCTCTAAATCATACTTATTTTTACCAGTCTACTGAAACTTTAGTATACTAACCATAAAAATAAATTGCCACATTTTACATCAAACAATCATTGCAAAAATATGAATGAATGTTATTAACATATTTAGAACAATCTCATGTAACCTTTCTATTGATCTTGGTTAACCCATATAGCTGATTAATCCTGTGATACAAGCTTTTACTATGCAGAAGATCATTTCAAAATAACAGGGCAAAGAGATATAAGGCAATATCCAAGGATCAAGAAAAACATGTTAAAAAATAAATATAGATAGCAAAAACCTTATTATTATTATTATTATATCGGTTATTATATTTATCATTTTTATTATCTTATAAATGAAAACAGTATCATTAAAATAAACTCAAAAAATTTTTAAATAAAAAACCGACAGACAAAAATTTGTTTTTAAATTTTTTTGTAAACACAGGTAAAAATCATTGACGTAAAAGTAATGCAAGGTGTTTTCTTTCTGTGGGCACGCCTTAGACGCCATTCAGGGCAGCCTTATTAGGTTTTTTCAAAGAAAGAGGGTGACTTAATGCCTGTACTGTGAGTACAGGTACAATACCGGGTGCAGGTGCAAACTCAGGTGTCAAAACTCACTGACACCTGTGAATCACCTGTCCGCCATCTTGACCTACTTTCATGGTAGCAGTCGGCTTTTTAAAAAACCCAGCAGGGCTTGTGAAAATATAACGCCACAACAAACTGATTTCATAAACGCAATATGTGAAATATATCCATACCTGAAGATGCCGTTAACCCTGTCTGCACCGGTTCTTTTGTCATTGGATGCAACCATGTTGTAGTTTTCGTATCGTCGCTGTCAAAAGATGAATATACACGTGTTATCAAAGTGCTTTCAGAATGATCAATAAATTTCAAATGTCAATCCATATAATAATCATTAAATATTCTGGGCACTTACTTTATAAAGAATACCCTGCCATCTTCCGTGACCCCGTAACTCCATGGGTAGGGAAGCCGTACTCGCAGAAGATCTGCGGCGGCCATGTTTGTAAACGACTTTGAGTACACCTACGCTGTTCCGGTTGCCTCCCTCTTTCAGGTGAAGCTAAAACATATAACTTCTCTATTGGAATTTTGACTATGCAGTGACTATGATTTGTGGTATTTTGAAAAGAATAAGTTTTTTAGATATATTTAAGTTAAGAGCATTTATAGTCCGTAACAAAATTACTTAAGTTTTCTTTTGTAGGGGAACAACGCAAGTGGTGTAATAGCTAAACAAATCCAATGTGTTTATTCGTTTTATTGGCAGCATACCTGTCACATGAATCTTAAGGAATTCGATACACATTCAAAGTTCATAAAACTCATATGACGGAAAACACCAACGATAAAACCCACAACTATGTTCGACACTCGTTTATTAATTTAAACAGTAGGCTTATCAAAAATCATATTTTGAATGAGCAGGTATTTGTAATGTTTTAATATCAGTAGTACTAATATGACAACGGAAAACGTCCGGGGATGGGGCAACCGCGGGCAAGACAAGTATGCATACACTCTAAATGACACTTGACTACTCTCTGACTACTAGACGACGCATATCAGACACTGATCCGTATGTTTATGATAGGGATAATTCTTTCAAATTTTTGAACGTTAAAGTTACCCAAAACATATACGGAATTTTTAATAAAAAGTAAAATTCTCGTACTCACAAATCATTACTTGACCCGTCGTTGCACTTTTTTCGATGTTTTATTCCATTTTTTTTAGTTATTGATTAAGTTCTAAACGATTAGCCAGTTATTTTATAAAACGCCCTGTCCCCCTGTACATTTCCATTTCAGAAGGGGGTATCGTCGTCAGATCCTAATATTTGAGGGGTTTTACAGATAACATAGTTTTAAATGAGAAAGATTAGTAGCTTTGCAGGATATGTAGACATAAATATATAACTTTGAGAAATTTCCATTGCGTACAGTGTACCTTTTAAATTATTGGACTCTGATGGGTAAAGCGTGTAGAAGACGAAGGTACAGAATATGATCTACCCTATATTTCGTAGATATCAGTTCATTTGTATCGTGTTATATGAATAACCTTTAATGCACCACAAAGGACCACCCAAGACAACAAGAAAAGCCAATTAAAAACCTGGATGGAAATGGCTTTCTGCCTTTGTTTTATTTCAAGTTTTTTATTGTTCCAATTTATGTTAATTGTTATAAAAGAAACCTTATATACCAGTTGATATAACGTATCTGCCCTCCAAACCCTAGCTTTATGTTAACTATCTAACGGTTGATACTATGTGGTGCATGTATACACAATCTAACATTAAACTTGTTTGTTACGGTCCCGTCTTTTAGCTGTTGATCGAATAAATCATTAACCTTTTAAAAGACAGGTGTAATAAAGTAATGCGTTGTATAAAGTGTATCATTACCAAAAATGTTACAACTTGAGTGATGTCATAAATTGGTATTTTATGAAAAAGTAAATGTCACGCCTATTTGGCCAACTGATACAATTTGACAGAGATATATAACACAAGATAAGTTAAGCTCAATGTTATATCACATTTAAATATTTTTTCTTATGCGACAACAGGAAAATATGTCTGTTACTTCTGACAATAACCAATAAATTATATAACTAGAATTACAACACGTGCAGGTTATATTCAGCGTCTTTCTGTTCATGTATGTTGCGCTGCTAGGATAGATAAAGATTTTCCCTCCTTGTCAGTAGTCCTGATTTGAACATTGTAATCAGTACATTACCAAGGATGTCCTTGATATTATGCACGAATCAACACCATGTTTTGTCGAGACGGTGCGGTTCGTCATCACGATCAGAACTGAGGAGGCTGAACGCACAACCTTTAAACATGTTTTAAGCCATCTTATGGCAAATAATATTGATGTCCGTTTAGTTACACATGAGAAGAGGTACATGTACTAAGGCTACTAATACGGAGTTGCGTCTTCGTTGTACTGGTCATTTATGAAATTGGCTATTGACTCTCTTTTGTTCCTTTTATAAATTTTCTTCCGACAAGCTACTCTGCTTGCCACAAAACCAAGTAACAAGCCCACACACAGCATTCCTAATGCAATTCCCGCGACTGCCCCTAAACGAAAGACATAGACACATTTTTTAGAAAAGCGTAATGGTAAACGTATGCCTTATTGCAAAAGAATAAAATGGCTCGCACAATTCAAGTTCTAACGTTAATGTTGACATAACAAAATTCTGATATTTGATTCAATGGCATATAATATAACACTGGTATATATTATATATATATATATATATATATATATATATATATATATATATATATATTTACGGTCAAGATATCGCAATACCAATAAAACGGTAGTTTGTTTTGTCAGTTTTCGCTATTATAGAATGAAACTTCACAATATCATACCTGGTCCAATTTCATTGTTTCTGTTGCGCTGTTCAAGAAGTTTCCTATATTCTTCAGCATCGCATTCAGTCTCGTTCGTGGGGTTATCTGTACTGTTAACATCAGCCGCCGAGGGGGTGACAACCGATGCCGTTGTTGGTAAAACTGTTGTCGTTGAGTCCGTTTCCGTTGGACAAGGAACCTGTACTGTAACCATCTTTGTGACAATTTTTGGTGTTGGTGTTGGTGGATGCGTCACTGTTGGACATGGTGCACAAGTGTTTTTTGTATAAGTAGGACACGTGCATGGTTTTGCTGTAACTGTTGGTACAGTGCACGGTTTGGGTGTCACACTAGATAATGTACTTGATGTGATAGTTGATTTTGTTGGTTCAGGCGTCTTTGTTGAAGTTGTCAACGTAGATTTGGTTTCCGTTGTCGTGTCAACAGAGCCAGAGGATGTTGTCTCTTTAATCGGCGAAGGCGTGGGATAGGTAGTCGAAGGTGTTGGGGGTAACTGGGATGGCGTTGGCGGCGTGGGCAAGGCCGTGGGTTCCACAGCGTATGTCACTACTACCGCACTCTCGCCTTGCAACAGGACAAGCTGAAGACACAATGTAGAAATTGTTAACATGAAAATAAAATTTAATCACATCTATATCTGTATTCACGAGGAAGCGACATTTCAGAAGATGGACATTACGCCCTTGTACACTCAAGCTACCAGAGCACCTCGCAAGAGAGGCGGCATGATGGTCTGACTTACAATGGTTTTTCCTGGCCCCGAGATAAGGATTTTAAACTGTGGACTTTTTGAGCTTATTTTCTCTTGGATCACTTTAAATGCTCCATGTAAGGTTGGTTCTGGTTTTGTATTATATGCTTGTGGGTTGGCTAATGGCGCCTTCTGCAACAGCGTGGCTACGAAAAATATGTAGTCTTTTCCATCATAGTCGATCTGAAATGAAATTGGGCCAGATACGTTTAAATTTCGATTACTTTACGTTTTACACCAAAAGTGGAATATATTAATAGGTATGCAAATATTGCAAATGTTGCTTGCTGTCTGATATTGTTACTCATTCAGTCTTTGCAATTAGAGTCCATTTTGTCAGGTTATATATTCACTGTAAAGGTGT